AAAAAAAAAAAAAAAGTATTACATTAAGGCCTAACACAAATTCCATTTCAAAGCCATGGATTTATCATCCCTAACTGTCCATCCTCACCTTATCACCCCTGGACAGCCTGTGGTTATCTCTTGTCTCAGAAAACCTCAACACTATGTATCCTTTTTAATCATTGAGATATTCCAGGCATGGTGGTGCATATCTGTAATCCTAGCACTCAGGAGGCTGAGGCAGGAGGGTAACTGTAAGTTTGATGCCACCCTGAATTACACAGTGAGATCCAGACTCAAAAAAAAAAATGAGGCATTGTTGCATACACTAGAGTGCTCACCTATGAACTATATAGTGTGTTGAGTTTCTATTTATGTATATACCAATTTGACTATCACCTGGAACAAGATATGGAACATTTCTAGCTAACCTGCAACTAAAGCTCTTTCTTCATGCCCTTTCCCTACCAGTGCCATCCCCAGAGGTTACTTTTTTGTTTTTAAAGCAGAGTCTCAGTTGCCGGGGCTGGTCTCAAACTCATGGACTCAAGTGATTCTTCTGTCTCAGCCTCCTGAGGACTAGAAGTATAGAGTGTGTCACCGTGCCCAGGACTAGGTAACATTTTTATAACCTCCATCACATGGATTCATGTTGTCAGTTCTTGAACTGCTAGTAAATAGAATCATACAGTATTTACACTTTATCTGGCTTCTTGTTGATCATTGTTATCTGAAATTTATTTTTATGTGTGTGTGTAGTGGAAACATTCTTTTTTCACTGCTAGATAGCATTCTATATCTTAGTCTGTGTCTGCTGTTATAACAAAATACCTAAGACCGAATAACTTAGAAAGAACAGAAGTTATTTCCCATAATTCTGGAGGCTAGAAGTCCAAGATCAAGGCATAGACAGTTCAATAAAACTCAAGGCTGGTATCGTGGAACACACCTGCAATCCCAGCACTAAGAAGGCTGATGCAGGAGGAACCCTAGAAGTTCAAGGCCAGCTTCAGCTGTATAATGAGTTCAAGGCCAGCCCAGACTACATAAGGAGATCTTGTCTCAAAAAAATCAAAACAAATTAAAAATAAACGGTAACCTGGTGAGAATCTAGCCTTGCTTTCCAAGATGGCACAAATGACATCCTCTAGAGCGGTCCACACTGTCTTCACATGGAAGAACAGAAGGGCAGCTCTCTACTGAGCCACGAATCCCATTCCTGAGAGCAGAGCCCTCATGACCTAGTCGCCTTCTCAAAGCCCCACCACCTCCTGATATTATTGAATTGGGGATTAAGTTTGGATATAGGAATGCTGGGGGATGCATTGAAGCCATGAACTTTTGTACGAACGTGGGACAGTTACCTACTGCTGACCTGAACGGCGCGGCCCACTCACATGATCAGGAGTCGTCTTCCCTGGAAGTCAAGTGATGCTAGACTTCGACCACATCTACAGAATCCCTTACCAGCAGCATTTAGTGTCTGCTTGGAGACGTCCCACCCAGAGCCCTCTGACCTGCTTCAAACTGGATCCTCCATACTTGCCTTCTTGAGGTTTAAGAGGCATGACAGTGCCGAGCCCAGAAAGAGGAGTCGAGGATGGGTCTGTGGTACCTGCTCCGAGGATGGGACAGCTTCAGGTGGTGAGACTGGCTCATCATGGCTGCGTCTGGAGAAGCTGCTACAGCAGCCCTTCTGAGACCTCACATCACCTCCATTCATACCTACCGACTGGGCATTGTCACATGGGCACAGTGCCACTCCCTACGGAAGACGCCTTGTTATAACGTGTCACATAGCAGGTAGCCGCGCAGCTGGAGAGGAACCTGTATCCAGGACAAGATGTCACAGATAACACGGACTTTGAAGGGAGCTTCTGCAACTATATAAAGTAAAACAGCCTGAGGGTCTCAGTGACCTCTTAAGCCATTCCTGTAACAACCACAGTTCATGGGGAAGAGTCAGAGCCCTCAGGAGAAACAGGAGAGCGCTGCTGTTCTCCTTCCAGGTCCCATCCAAGGCACTTACCATTTGGTCCACATGGGGCACCTGCTAACGGACACTAGAAAAAGCAACATTCACCACACCCCCTGCCGAAATAGGCCCTATCGACCAAAGGTCATGTGGTGATGTTCGTCAGGCCCAGTTCTTCTCAGCCTCGACTACACTGGGACCATCGGCGCCATTTCAGAGCACACCAATGACCCGTCCTGTTTCCAGACACGGACTCAGCTGGCCAGGGGTGTGACTTGGACATCAGGCCTTCCAGAAGTTCCTGAGGTAACTTGAATACAGACTCTCATCGGATGCATGAGCCCTGGCTTCAGTCCCCAGCCCCCAAACAAAAACAAATGAAACCGCTGAGTGCATCACGATGGCCTGTACGGTTCATGTTGAATTTTAAGAATTACTTCCTACGTTTAAAAATTAACAGGTTTCACATCGAGCTTCTGTGAGAACATCTGCGTGCAGCAGGCTGCACTGCCACGGGACGCTATCAGCCGGGCTGGGCTTGCAGCTGCCCTTGCTCGGCATTTCACCCCCTCCCACACTATCACCACAGTTCAGGGCTTCTGGACGTCTGCCACTGACATCCTGTTTTCACTGTGGGTTTTTTCACATCAGCAACAAGAGAAAAGCGAAGCTGTGCTCAGCCCTGTGTCTCCAGCAGTCAGAACGAGAAAGGAGGCACCTGGCAAAGGCTGAGGGCCCGGTAGGACCTGCCACTCATTCGTGGCACCCGTCTGGTTCCTGGAGCCTTGGCCCGCCTGCTTCTGATGTAAATAGTTCCATGTTTCCCCACACCGTGTTTTCCCACCACAATGCCTTGTAGCCCATAGGGCAAAGAGCTGAGAAGTGAACAACCCCAACCTAATTACCCTAATAATTAGATAGGTCTCAAAGGCAAAGAGAAAGCTATAAATACTGCAAGAAAAAGGGGGCACCCAAGAGCCAGTTCCAGAACTCCGGAAACGCAGGAAGGTTGAAAAGTTTGTACTTATTATAAGGTAGTAAGGGGTAGGAATCAAACCTGACCTGGGAGGTACAGAAATGATGAACTTGAAGAAAAGGGAAGGTTGCAACCCTAGCGACAAATCGCAGGCCTTGCTCATGGCCCCACTCCCAGCACAGGCCCCTGCCGCCAAGCTTGGTTCTAGTCAAGAATCCCTTTCCTAAGTCTTCTGAACATGAGTACTTTCCTCTTCTGGCTTCAGGTCTTCCCCACTATCTCCTCTGCCCTCCTTTTCCCAGCCAAGTTCTCCTCTGTTTGGTCTCAAGGCCTGGGGCCCTGACACCCCCAGCTGGAGGTGGCGCTCTATGCACTCCTGTGCCTCTCCAAAATTGTGCCCATCGGGGCATGTATGTAGCTCTGTAAATGCCGCTCAGTGATCTCTCCCGCACAAGACCCTGAGTTCCATGAGACCGTGGTGATTACCAACCTCGCTCATGACTGTATCATCAGCAGCCAGGGTGCCTGGATGGCAGAAACTCAACAGATAATGATGGAAGGGTGGGTGCGCGGGAGAATGGGGGGAACGAAGGAAGGCGTGGGACGGAAGAAAGAACTCAAAGTTGGCAGCAGAAAGCAAGATCTTATAGTTGACGATATCTCAGAAAGAAGGATTTAAGATGACAAGTGCCAGAGTACAGATGTAGGACTCCATGAGGTTAGAGTCTGCAAAACAAAATCCAGGCCAGGCAATTCAGTGCAAAATTAATACAGAGAATTCATCGCAAAGATGATAGGAGAGCAAAAAGAAGGGTGAGGTGACTAATTCACAGTTCGCCCCAGAGAATCACGGTGCTTTGTCACAACCACACCCGCAGGGACAAGTGGAGAAGGGTTTGCCAGGCCCAGGACCCTTGGCTGAAATCATGGTACCTGATCCTGAGAGAGGTAGAACCACAGAGGAAATCTAATCACTGCCAGAGATGCTGCCGGAAAGGCACAGAGAGATGGGAAGGAGCACAGAAATCCCGTGCCCTCTCCCTGTGGCTGCCCCAGTCCCCGGGCTTCCACAAGCGCCTCTCTCTGGAAGAACCCATTTGCGTGCGTGCTTTGTTTTCTGTGCAGAGGATTAAACTGCGGGCCTCAGACACGTTAGGGAAATGCTGTAGCCTAGCCGGAGCCCAGTTCAGCTGAACCTGCTTTGAAGCTAAGGGGCCAGAGTGCTTGGGAATTGTTTGCAGGGATCCACTCTCCTACAAAACAGAGCAAAACACGCCAGGATCGCGGATACAGGATCTCAGACCAAGCCGGCCAACAAGTAGAAGGGGAGGCTCCCTGAAGCTGCCTGAGCCCCGCAGCCAAAAGAGGGGCCCGGGACTGCAAACCAGAGCGCGTCCCGGAGTGGGAAGCCACCATCTCAGCTTCCATAGGTAAAGGAGAGGGGAAGTTATGGCCTGGGGCCAAGGAGCTGGTTGACTGTGAGGCTGAGGGGAAGGGAAGGAATGCTTGTGGTATTTCACAAGCGTCCTCTGGAAAGAGCAAAAGACCCAGGTTGGTACCAGCTCAGGTACCTGCGAGCGGGAGGATCTGACAAGCGCATCAGCCCCCGGGCCTGGGTCTGTGACGTGGACACAGCAGGAGGCCCTCGGTGTGGTCACTGGGAGAACTGAGTAAGAGCCTCCACGAAGGGCGCTGGTGTGACGACGGCAGTGGGAGCAGAACCTCCAGCTTAGTCTCCCGTGAGGCAGTGAGCCATCACCGTCACCGTCATCGTCACAGGGGCAGAGGATCGGAGGCCTCTCCCCCTCCCAGGCGGCTTCTCCCTGGCCCGCACGGCAGGGCCCGCCGCTCTCGGAGACAGAGCGGCGCTGAGGACCGCGGTGCAGGCTTGATCTTTGCCCTGGTAAGAGGGCAGGAGAGGGCGGGCACCCAGAGGTGGCCACGGGTAAGGGGAGGCGAAGCTGCCATCGCAGCCGCAGGGACCCGGCTTCTGCACCAGCCTGCGGTGCCCGAATCCACTAACCGGGCGTCTGTGCCCGGCCCGGCAAAGGAGTCACGGGGTGCTTTCTGCTCTCGGCACCCACGGCGTACCAACTTCCCTCCTGAAATACCCAGGACCAGGCCGAGGTCAAGGGTGCCACCAGCGTTGGCTGACTGCGGTGTTTTGCGCCAATTATGTCACTGAGGGGTCCAGGGATTTAGCTCAGTGGTGCCACACCTTCATTGTAAGCTTGAGGTTCTGGGTTCGATTCCCGAAACCAGAAAAAAAATCTGTCACTTAGCCCTAGGGAAAACCTGTTGGGTGAGCTTGTTCATGTTGAAGATTGGAATTTAAAAAATTTTTTTGCATGAAATTCCTATAGGTTACCTAGAAAAAGTCAAGGAACAGGAATTTGAAGAGGAAACATTTCATTATATTTCTTGTCATAGGCGTTCCAACAATAGCTCACTAAGCATTGAAGGGCTAAGGACATTCACTGTTTCACAGGTGATGAAACCGAAATTTAGATTTAAAAAGACCAAGGAGCGGGAGGAAAAAAAAAACTAAGGAGACAGGGAATTGAGCCTTTCTATGAAAATTATCTAAAAATTTTAAAGAAGGCAGAAAGCTTGCTCTGGGCCTTTAAAGTCACCCTAGAATGGTGTTTCTGAACCCCGGGAGATTTTTCAGACCCCTCCCGTGCAGAGGACCTCTGCTCAAGATCGGGAGACAGTTTTGACTGGGGCCGCCCATCGGGGAATCCTGTGATACTGCCATCTAGTGGATGGAAGCCAGAAACGCATGGGAGACCCTGCTGGAAGTAACCACCCCGCTCTGGAGAAGCTCTGCTCTAAAACAATGAGACTATATTTGGCTTATTATTTCCTATTTATTAGGCCTCAGGAATGTAAATTTGTAGAACAGCAGTAGGACGCCAGTATCAAAGGACTCTTGTATAATAGGGTAGCCCCAAAGGGTACAATTTTATAGACCTGAAGGATGCTAATTAGTTGTGTATCAAACTCAGCCAACTTATTCAAGAATTCTCTTTTGATTGCTGACTAGACCAATTTCTTCTATCCTCCTGCAAGCCAGTTTTTCCTTCCTCTGGCTTCTTCTTGTCGTACTTTGCTTGGGTCCCAAAACAAGCGCCCTTCGTGGAGGCTCTTACTCAGTTCTCCCAGTGACCACACCGAGGGCCTCCTGCTGTGTCCACGTCACAGACCCAGGCCCGGGGGCTGATGCGCTTGTCAGATCCTCCCGCTCGCAGGTACCTGAGCTGGTACCAACCTGGGTCTTTTGCTCTTTCCAGAGGACGCTTGTGAAATACCACAAGCATTCCTTCCCTTCCCCTCAGCCTCACAGTCAACCAGCTCCTTGGCCCCAGGCCATAACTTCCCCTCTCCTTTACCTATGGAAGCTGAGATGGTGGCTTCCCACTCCGGGACGCGCTCTGGTTTGCAGTCCCGGGCCCCTCTTTTGGCTGCGGGGCTCAGGCAGCTTCAGGGAGCCTCCCCTTCTACTTGTTGGCCGGCTTGGTCTGAGATCCTGTATCCGCTCCTGGCGTGTTTTGCTCTGTTTTGTAGGAGAGTGGATCCCTGCAAACAATTCCCAAGCACTCTGGCCCCTTAGCTTCAAAGCAGGTTCAGCTGAACTGGGCTCCGACTAGGCTACAGCATTTCCCTAGCGTGTCTGAGGCCCTCAGTTTAATCCTCTGCACAGAAAACAAAGCACGCACGCAAATGGGTTCTTCCAGAGAGAGGCGCTTGTGTCAGGCCACAGGAGATCGTGGAGTGTAAGTTCCACAAGAGCAAGGATCTTTGTTTATTCTGTTCATCGGGGTACACTTCAGCACTAGACTTAGGCATCGGCACACAGCAAATGCTCGTTGAGTGAATAAACTCGGAAAGATAATTGAGTTTAAGATCTAACTGGCTTTTTCTAGCAACCCGTGAACCAGACAGCGTCCCCTGTATGGCACAGAAGTGTGCGTCACTGAGTTGAAAACTGGGGCTGGCTTTACAGGCGGAAAAGGGCTGAATAGGGAAAAAATAGATTCATCAGTTCGTTACTTTCCATATATGGCTAAAGCAGAAGGGTCTCTCACTGTGCCAGCTAGGGTAGCCTAGACCCCCACCATGACTGGTTGCTATGAACCTCTGTTTTGGGGGAAACTGGCCTTCATTGAAGTTTAGTTCGATTCCATGCCATCTAACACAGGTGACTGCATTATGGTTTGGTTTTTGGCTCTTGGAAGCCTGGTGCAGGAGCTGAGGCCCAGAAAGTGGTCTTCCACAAATTACAGTTAGCAGAAATCACAGCGCCTTCTGTGTAAAGGACAAGGAGACCAACTCCCCGGTTAGAGGAATGACCTTCGACCACAGAAGTGGACACAGGGAAACTGAGCCAGTAACCACATAGTTTGGAGTAGAATCGATTCGGAACTCACTGGTGTGGTTGGTCGTTGTGGGCAATGAGGGAAAAAATAGGGTAACACCCAGGTTACTGGTCAGAACCATTTTGGACTTGAAGATGTTAGCTACTGAGAAGGCAAAGGCAGGAGAAATGTTGGGTCTGGCCGTAATAAGATTTAAAAAATTCATTCTTTGGGGTAAAAATCCATTCTTTGGGTCTTTAAAGGTTTGAGGCAGCAAGTAAAATGCAAATAAAATTTCTCCCAGGAGAAGTTACTCTGAAAACCTTTATTGGTCAGTATCAACTAATTCCATACCATTCCTGGGCAGAGAGACACAAGATGAGGACGTCACCGATGAGGAGGCAGGAGGGTCAACAATGAACAACATCATTCATTCTTTCACTTTGACTGATTTTTCAGTACATTGTCTCTTCTGTGTCAGAGATGTGAGACAAAGAAGACAACTAGCAGCTCCACTGCAGGCTGTAGAAACACACAAGGAGGTGCCTAAGCCATGCTGTTGGGGACACAGAAGCTTGGATTCATGAAGGATTCTGGAGAAGGTGACATCTGACATCTGAATTGAGTTCCAGAGGAAAGGCTTTAGCACCTTCTCAGTACCCACTTCCTTCCCCATAAAAAGTATGCATAAGGGCCGGGGATTTAGCTCAGTGGTTCCAATGCCTGCTTTGTAAGTGCAAGGACCCAAGTTTGATCCCCGGTACCCCCAAAAAAAGTATGCATAAAATGTGAAGTAAATGCTAATTGTATCCCACTGTAACATACAAGCGAAATTTTCCTTTAAAATCTATTAAATGAGAAAACTTGTTATCCATGTGTAGAAGATGGAAGCCAGATCCCTCTCACTTGATACAAAAATCAACTCAAAACAGATTAAAAACCTAAATGCTAAATGAAACTTTGAAACTGCTAGAAAACATAGGGGAAATGCTTCAAAATACAGACACGGGTAGCTGGGTGTGGTGGCTCACACCTGTAATTCCAGCATTCAGGAGGCTGAGGCAGGAGAGTTTGAGCACAACCTAGGCAACAGAGACCCTGTCTCAAACAACACAAAGAAACAAAATTTTTAAAGCTGGGCAGAAGGGGTTGGCCAGAGGAACCACATTGTTGGTCAGAATGTAAATTGAGCCAGCCACTATAGAACATGGAAATGAATATGGAGTTTCCGCAAAAAAATTAAAAATAGAACTATCACGTGGCCCAGCTGTACCACTCCTTTACCAGAAAGAATTGAAGTCTAGATAGTATTGGGAAATCTGCCTACCCATGTTTGTCGCAGTGCAATTCACAACAGTTAAGCTATGGAAGCAGTCCAGGTGCCCATCAGCAGGTGAGCGGACCAAGAAAATGTGGTGTGTTTACACAGTGGAGCCTTGAAGAACGAAATCACGTCATCTGCAGGAAAACTGATAAAACTAGAGATCATGACGTATAACTAGGACGGACTAAGAGAAGATATGATCAAAGTAGGTTACACAGGAAATGAAAATGCCAGAATGAAACCCATTATTATCATCGATCTGCAATAATAAAAATTTAAAATGTATCAAACAGTACCTAGTTTTTATTATGTACTTACGAGGGACAGACTCATTTTATCCCCACAACCCTATGAAGTGGAAACGTATGAACTCCACTTTACAGAGGAGGGAGAGAAGCTAACTTTACCACTGGTCACCTTGCTAGCAAGTGGGCAGAATGTGGGACATGGGCAGCACACCCAACGGAGGGGACCCCGTGTGGGCAGCCCAGCAGCATCAAAGCCAGCATCAAAGCCTGCACCAGGCCGCGCCGGCAGGGCTCCGCAAGGCCGGGTACCAGACCAGCCTCCCTGAGGTCAGGACTTCAGTAAACACATCGCTGGTGCAGGCGTATGGATGAGCTCAGTGCTCTGCACAGATCGGCTCTACGTTTTCTTTAAAGGCAAGGATTAAAAAATTAAATAAATAAATAAATAAATAAATAAATAAATAAATAAATAAATAAAAGTAAGTAAGTAAGTAAGTAAGTAAATAAATAAATAAATAAATAAATAAATAAATAAA